GGAAATACAATACGTTAATGAAGAAAATTATATTGAGGAAACACAATCCATTCATGAAGAAAATTATATTGAGGAAACACAATCCATTCATGAAGAAAATTATGTTGAGGAAATACAATCCATTCGTAAAGAAAATTATGTCGAGGAAATACAATCTGCCTGTGGGGAAAATTATAATGAAAATGAGATAGTCGAATATAATAATCAAATATCAAATAACACCTCAAGAGCACATAGAACCTATAATTACCATATAAGTTGTTATCGCACTCCTCAAAATCATTCTCATAGTTTCATGGGTGAGCAAAGAGAAAGAGAAAGAATAGCTGACGAAAGAGCTGAAACAACCAACATTATAGATAATTCTGTTGAAGAATTTACACCATCAGAAATTGAATCTAATGTAGCAGAAGTAGTAATTGCAATAGAAGATAATGTTGATGGGACAGAAGAAGAGAGAGAAGTGGAAATGGACAAGGACGAGGATGAAGTTTGTAGAGGAGCAAGATGGACGTGAGAGGAGAAAAAAATTTTGCTCAGGTATATTTTCAGCAAAAAAATAAACACCCGGAAACTTTACAACATGGGAATAAAAAGATCGAAGCGGGCCATGTCAGCAAAATGGTACCATATGAAAAGGACATAAAAATATTATTTGGGGTGGATTTTTAATATGAAATTATTTTAATTTTTTTATTGCTTAATTTATAATTGTAAGATTCAATCTTTATCAAAAAATCATAAAAAATTAATATTATATTGCTCATACCCTTGTTAACTGTTAGTGTTGCATGTTTGTGTCATTATGAGAGCCAGAGTAGTCTATATACTGCTGAGCATGTTAGCCGAAATTGCTTCTCTTAATAAATGATCCTTGCCGGAATTAAATTTATTAGTTATCAAAATATATCCAAAATTAATTGAACACTTGGCGAAATCCTGGATAGTTTTTTATGTCTATTGATATGGAGAATGTTGTGTTTGTCGAAATTGATTTTTCAAAAACTATTTCGGCCAACATACTTATATATATACAACATCTTATTTCTCATATGCAGCTTTATTTGAATGGCTAGATACTCACCATTTAAGTAGAAACCCTGTCTGACATTTACTACTTCTTTAAAACAAAGTCACCTCATTGTCATAATACATATTTTTAATTAAAAACTGTAATTGTTATTATTTCAATGGCACATATTATTTAATTGAAAATAATGAAATAATAAATGAATAAATAATATTAAAATGTGTTGGCATAAAAACTAAACATGTTTTAATCACCATCTTTTGTTATCATTGGCATACTGAAGTTTTGAGTAATTTCAGTTGATGGAATATTTGATGATTCAGCTTGTTGAATTGATTCATTTAGTAGCCAACTTGTATAGAATGATCATGGATGCTGCTTATGATTTTTTGTATATGTCAGGAATTTGACTGATTTAACAATTCTTGATAACTTCTCAAAACAATATCCAATTAAACAATCATAATTACTTCTATTTTCAGAATTGATCCCAATACCTTTCCATCAATCCAACATAGAATACTGGGTATCATCAGTGAATTGAGGTCTTCTCTGTTTAAAATATCCAATATAAGATGATTATCAGTCGCAGGACATTACAGATTTACAGGGGGTCAAGTGTCACCCATATATATATAAAATTAATGATCTTCGTGCATAATTTTATATGTAAAATCGAAGAAAAAAATCACCCGATTTAACCAAGATTGTTCCTTGAATTATAAAAAATCAAAATATATGGAAAACCCTTTATTTTGACATATTTTTTGCCAGGGTAAACAAACAAGACTCGAAGAAAATCTTAATGTGAAGTTGGTCCACCAGCTCTATAAGTTCTATAATAAGAAATTTGAATATGCGCAATTCAATCTTTCGACTTAATTTTTTTTTACATAATAATAATTAATGCAATAGTAAGTTCTAATTCCCAAGCTTTAAATATTTATTTTAGAATTTGTTTATAGAAAAGTATTAATTTTTTTTTATTGGCATAATAATATATATATCACTGGATGTATTAGAAAGTTGTATCAAGCAAATTTATTAACTTGGTGATATTTATTTAATATTTTAAACAAAAATGGATTCGTATAATGGACTTCTTTCAAGGATGGCAGTTAACAAAATGTCAGTTAATTTAAAGAAAGATTTGTTGATTTTTGATTAAAGTTTCATTAATGATCATTAACGGTTTTAATTATACATACATACATATATATACATATATATACGTAATATATCACTTTTGAAGCTTCATAGATCTTGCTTTTAACACTTCAATCAACTGCTATATAACTATGAATAATTGATAAAACCTTCATCAAGTATAATGATTTAGAAGTACTTTTATTTACATATTTAATAATAAGTACAGATTATACTTTAAAAACCAAGGTTTGTTTGTTATATTCACTCTCATTAATTCCGATGTATATAAGATCTAGATGATCGTGTAACAATTTTATATATTATTAATAATAAACACAGATTATTACTTGTAAAAACCAAGGCTTGTTTGTTCTATTCACTCTCATTAATTCCGATGTATATAAGATCTAGGTGATCGTGTAACAATTTTATTAATAAATAATATTAATAGATTATACTTGAGAAAATAACTCCCGAAAATTTGTTACACGAAAATTGATTGTTTTGAACCCCAAAATTTGATGATGACAATCATAACAAATTTGCGAGGCAAAAATTATTAAAAATAAATTTTGGTGAAACAGCCGAATTTTAAGGTGAAATTTATTATTCGTTTTAATTTATTTATAAATAGTGTGAAAATTTCTTGAAATTTTTCTTTAAAAAAATAAAACATCTAACATAAAACATTAGAAATAAAATCTTAATCCTTATTTATCAAAAAAACAATTGTTCAACTACAACATGTCTTCAAATTTTGAATCATCTGAAGATTTAATTTCAATTTATGGTGATCTCATATCTAATTTAAATTTAGACATTACAAATTTAGAAGATGACATGGAATTATCATCAGAAAATTTAATTTTCCAAGTAATTTAGGATTAGAAGAATATGAGCCAAATGAATTGGTACTTAATGCAATCCAAGACTTGAAATTATTTTTTGAAGAAAAATCAAACTGCAGCTGTCGTAAAAAAATAAATAGAATATGTTTTGAAAAAATTGGATTTAAAAATTTTTTAGAAAGACAATTTCAATTAAAAGGATTAGAAAACTATGAACTAGATCTTTGTATTAAAACACAATTGATGGTTTTTAAATTACAGGATCAAAATGACAAAACAAATAAATATAATTACAATTATCAGTATAATTCATCAATACCCATTTGTCAACCAGTTTTTTTAAAACTATGTGGTATTAGTAAAGACAAATTATTAGCTTTGCAAAATCATTTTAAGTTAGATGGTTTGATGGATTGTATTCATGGTAATACTAATAAAATTCCTCAAAATAAATCACATGTAATTGTTAATCTTGGAATGGCACAATTAGTTAAGAATTTTTTATTGCAATATTCAAATTTACATGGATTACCATCTCCTATGAAAATTAGAGATGAATTAGAAGCAATAACCCATTTGCCAACTTATATGAAATATACTACAGTATATGAAGAATTTAAAAATTTATTTAATTCAGAATATGAATCCATTAGGCCTGTTGCATATAATACATTTTACAAACTATCACAACAATTAACACCATACATTAAATTCAAAACACCTGCAACTGATCTTTGTGATACTTGTGAAGCACTTAAAAGAGATATAAAATTTACAAATGATGATGATGAAAAAGAAAATCTTAAATTTGAATACAAAAATCACCAAACAGATGCAGAACAGGAAAGAAGCCATTATACCAACATAATTGAAAATAGCAAAAATGATTCAATAGTAACACACATTTGTTATGATTGGGCCCAAAGTGTTGCAGCTCCCATACACCTTTTGGTGTATGTAAGACAGATGATGGAAAAAATAATCAGTTAAATTATACTATAGGAGAAGATGAATTACCAGAAGGAAAATCCAAAAAAGGAGCCAACACAACTTTGAATATGGTTTTTGATTTTTTCCTAAAGAATCACCATGTTGATAAAAAAGATCTTTATGTCACATGTGATAATTGACCTGGACAAAATAAAAACAATTTGTTTCTTTGGTTTAGTCATGGTTAACAATGTTGGGTTGGTATGAGAATATTTATATAAATTTTATGATACCTGTGCACACAAAATTTATTTGATGCTAAATTTGGACCTATTAAAAAAGCATACAAGACCAGCCATTAAATACTGTTGATGATGTTGAGATGGTTATAAACAAATCATCTATACATAATAAGTCTATTAGATACAATAATGGGATAGGTCAGAAATGGAAAGACTTTAATTCAATGTTAAAAGATCATTTTAGAACTTTACCAAATATAAAAAAGCATCATCATTTTCACTTTAGTAGTTTGACATCTGATATTGGAATAGTTTATTTTTCAAAAAAAACTGGTGGAGAAGAATATTCTTATAATCTTTTGAAGAATACTAATTTTGATAAAAGTACACAGCTAAAAAAGTATATTTTTTGACTATTTAAATCAGGGTGTAATTGCAGTAATAATTGTAAAGCTTCATTTGGTTTGGGTAAATTTTCTTGAAGTTGTCCCTTTATCAGAAGACTGGAAAAATTATTTGTATACCAACATTTGTCAGCATGTAGATAATCCATATAAAGATATTCTTTGTCCAAACCCTCCTGCCAGTTTCAACAATGCTAACTTGTTTTTCTAAATCATCCAGTATTCAAGAATTCTTTACCCACCAATAACGTCACATGACTTTAAAAACTTTGCCCAGAACTTTCATATTATCCTCTATTACTATTGCTACTAAATGTCTATTTTATAACCTCCAATCAGAATTCGAAACACTAGCTACTTATGCAAATGTTATCAAAATCCATTAGATCCAAACTGTTGTGGTATACTATTTATAATATACATACACAATTATGGTGCAATTCATAAAACTATGATGTCCAAGGGACAATATGTTGGTGTGAGAAACTTTCTTTCTTTAATTGGTAGGATGATTGCTCTTTCCGTATTCACAACATCTTTTTTTTTTTTTGAAGATAAACTTCACTGTTTGACCCATTAATCAAGAATCATCGAGTTACAAACTCAAACAATGAATGACTAAAAATCTCTTAAATAGGTCGTGATATTACTTTTAATAGGCAGTAGAAGAAAGCTGTTGCATTTCCAGGATCACATCAGTTAAAGGGAAAATTGAAGGATTCGTTAATAGTTTGCCATTTTACTAATTGTAGATAAATTATTTTTTTCTTTATTCTATAAATAATTATTATCATCAAAATAAATTCCAATTATTCATTAAATTTCATATTTCGTTGACCAATTAAATAGTATGTAGCTTTAAATTTTACTATATATAAAAAATAAAATAATCAATCAAAATTTTACTAGTATTTTATTGGGAAAGTTATATAAAACATATATGAATTTCAGGGACAGGCCGTTATACACTATAGGAATTTAATTAAGAAGACGGTTATAGATGGGATTATTATATAGTAAAAAATAGGGACCCAATTCCCAGTTCGTTATAGAAGAAAGTGTACTGTACATTTGTGAAGTTATCAATGCAAAGTCTTGATTTTTATTTTTCTGGGCCATGACGTGGAGGTTGAAAGCATAATACAATTATTATATTGATATATACAATTTTAATTTTCAATGATTAATTACACATCACGCATATTACATATACATAAAATTAAAAAACATTGCTTCGAAAACTTTTTTTCAATGGTTAGTTAATATTAGCACAATAAACTTTCCTGCTAATTAGACGATGCAAACTGAAATTTTAAATCTTGAAATCAGTGATCGATATCGGCCAAACTAAAAGACAGTTCGTGAAGCTTTGGAACTAAAAATAAGCAAGGAACGCAATGACTATTTAGAGCCTTTATTGAAACGAAATGATACAGATTTGAAATGCATGTTTGTTGTTTTGAGAGTGGTTCTCTGATTTTTTCATTAACGATAGTGAGATTCGAGTAGCCTCTTGCCAACTATCATGAATTCCATTTAACTTTATACATTCCGTTTTAATATTGTCAAATTCAATTGCAATTCTCTTTCTCGTGCTTGTTTTTACCAAGTCTATAGCCTTTCCATATGAATATTTACTATTAAATCGACCTGAAACTCTGGTTCAATGTCTGCATGTAAAGTCAAAATCAAAGTATCTAAAATGTTTGTTTTGATGTTTCCTCATTGGAGTGTACAATACTATTGTCTTTCAAAGGTTTAAGTAATAGTTCTTCTACAAATCGACATGATGGATCAATATCATTGTTTGCTTCTAAAATTTGTAAACATTGTCGAACAGGTGTTAAATTATCTTGTTTCCATTCATGAATTTTGAGAGATTCTGTTATGAATTCTCTTTTTGAAACATTATTCGGAATCCGAAAACTAAATTTTGAACTGCCTGGTTGATAAGTAAGAGCTCCAGTATAGAACAAGAATGACAACGATGGAGTGCGGTCTGTGGCCAGCTCACGAATGTTTACAAGTCGAAATCGTTGTTCAATGCCATTTCTTGATTCAAGGGAAAGTTGACCAATTGATTCAGTAAGTATTGATTTTCCAAGGGAATTGTTTACAATCAAGTTCAGTGTTGTCTGTGAGGGCAATCTATGTGGATCGGGAGAAAACCGAAGAAGCTTTTTAATATATATGGAAGTATCCTTGTAACGTTCTACATATTTGATTCTTCCGGTTAGCATCTGAACACTGTATAAAATATTGCCGGTATTGAATATACCTTCTTGTTGATCAGGATTAAAATAATATCCCCCATATTCATCTTCTAACCATTTAATTATCCTATTTTTAATATCATGTAAAAAGCTATTTTCAAAAATATTATCCAAGAGAAGTTCAACTTCTGACTTTTTAAATCCCAAAATTCTTCTCTTAATGCCAAATCTGTTGAAATATTGAAACCCGAAGTGAATTCAGACATGACGATAGGAGTCACGCCAGTTTGGAAAACATAAGCAATGCCATTATCACAAACAGATTTCAATCGACTGTAAAATTGTTTGAATGAACTCTCCATTGCTTCAGTTCTGCTTAGAGAATTTTTATGATGAGCAATAAGAGGTTGTAAGGTGGATTCATTTTTAAGAGCTTCGATCATTCCAGCATCATATTCATCAATAAAAACATAGATCTAAAGAAAAAGATTAGTTTGCTGTTTCTTTTTTGAAAAGTAATGGTAACTAAGCAAGAGAAAGTACCCTGTGACCACTCAATTCTATTGCATTCAGTAACTCTTTAAAATTCACCAAAGTGCTTTCATTTTTATCCCAAACTTAACAATAGTCCTTCAACTCTTGTCGATATCTGCACATAAGCTTTGTCATGTCTATGTTCAAACTTTTATGGAAATCATCCTCAAAAATTTCAAATGTTGAATTGGTACGAAGTCCAGAAAAATCGAGTCTAAGAACAAGGAATGAAGATGCTAATGGCGTGGGATTTTTTCCGATGTATAAATCGCCAAAAAGTTGTTCGAATCGTTCTCCTTTGTTCTTTACATCATAATAAGAGGATAAAGTGGAAAGGAATAGCGTCTTTCCAAAATGACGAGGACGTAGTGAAAGGGTAGCACAAACATCAAGATTCCCTCTCTATTTTAGAGATAAAATAAGTCTTGTCTAAGTAATAACCACCTTCTTTGTCTCAAATCGACAAATGAGCCTGTCGAAAGTATTTTGAGAGGTTTTAAAAATGCTGACGACACATCAACTTCTACAGACAATATTTTGGATTCACTAATTGATTGGCAATGAGGTTTTTCACAGCTATCTTTATCTAACTTTGACCTCTTCCGCTCTCGTTCTACTGAATCAAATTCCATGTCAGAATATAATTGGAATCCTCGACGTGCTATCTGAAGGCCATGTTGAACTCCTTTTTTCTAAATAATAAATTCAAAAAAGGGAAGAATAAGATGTTATTCTAAAAGTAATAGAACATTTAAATATCACTTGCCTTTTGGATTTCTACCTCCAAGTCAACAAGATTTAATTCCATCTTTAATGATAAAATCTGATTGCTTATATCCCAAATTTTTTTATTTCATCATTTTTTGTAGTATTCTGCATAAAAAAATAATAATTAATAACTAAGGATTTAATATAGAAGTAGATTATTTTTAAAAAACCATATTTATTGGAGAGATGCACTTTGAGATATGTGGTGGGAAGAAAATTCACAAGAACCACGGACACGCAGGCCCTCCCCCAATGACACGCGGGCCCTCAGGTTTAGTTCGTGTGAAGCATTCCTTAGTCGGACTCGAGAGCCCAACCCAAACGTTTCCATGACCATGCACAACCCGTCAGTTTTACACGCAGGCAAAACTTTCTCAACACACGGCTGCCGGATTAGTCATGGAGTGCGTCCGTACCATCCAAAACTATACTAAGAGTACTTTCCTGTAATTCGCTTTGCAATCGACAGGATGTTCCGTGAGCAAGATGTGTAGTGTCCATATATCTTTTTTTCCAAACACTTCAGCTCCTCAGACAAGGCAAGATGGGAACTATGTTTGTTTTGATCCAGTGAATATCCCAGTCATTAACATTTCCCCAGGTGTTAGGATCCCTACTCCAATACTCTGAAAATATAAGGGTGTAAGATTTGTATTCCTAATTTGTCTTTAACGATATAACAGGCTTACCTGAATATCTTAGCTCCTCATCATTTTCCTTCGCCATGAAGAAAGTTATTAGTTGTGCGACATATCCCTGAGGCACGTGAGTGAAAATCGAAATTCGTGTCACATGAAGTTTTTTTTAAAATATTACTTTCATTAGCGTATTTGCTCATATGACAGATTCTTTAATTTATCTTTATCAAGAGAATATTTTACATCACGAGATCATTCTTATAATTACTTATTAACGTTGATATTACAAAAAAGCAAGTATACCAACCATTTGTGATGATAAAGAATTAGTTGTTTTATGGAAAGACACTTGAGAATTCAATAGATTATGGTATTTATATTGGATGAAATCTGTCGAGGAATCGGTACAACAATTGGCTGACTAAGTGCTGCAATTCTGTCAGAAAACAAGACGTCAACATGTCAATCACACAGAAAGATTGTCAGATGTATTGGATTGGAAGTTGACGAGTATGGAGTGTGTGAAAGTCAGGAAATTGGTATTGTATCGTACTTATCCTGAATCGTTCAAATGAAACGGACTCAATAATCATAGGCGATTGTGGATCAGGTCGACACAAATACAAAATGGCAAGACCATTATCAACACTAGTGTCCAAGAATTTGTAGTATTAGCATTAGTAGTGTCAGTAGTGGACTTTGTGGCATTGGTGGTCGCTCTAATAATGTACAAACTCTAGGATTTAAATGTTGGGACCAAACAGCAATAATTATATTGATAATGACGATGGTGGTTAAAGCCATCCAATTCCATTAATAAGACATGATGGTACTAGTAGTTATATTTCGTTCATTGGAAGATTTTAAAATTATATATTATTTTTAAATAAATTTAAAATTATATTAACATTAGTCACCAATTGTTTTTAGTGAATCATTATTGTTATTATGTTCTCATTGTGATTGTATCGGCATCTTTTGAAATATGCTCAAGCATTTTGAAATCAATCCTTTCGTCTCTTTTATATTTTTCTTCAAATGGCGGAATGTCAGACAAGAAGTCATAACATAAGACATCAAAAGACCACAAGTGTCCTTCAATAATCTTCTTCTTCTTCTTCCTTTTATTTAGAGAGTGGATTGGCCAATCAAAATCCACTACTATTTTAAATTTGCTGTAATGGATTCTCACAGTTCATAATGACTTGGAAATACACCCATATGGCAACCAAGTACAAAATCCTCATAGTCAATCCCAAATGAATTTATAAATTCTGGATGGAATACCACTTTGACACGACCTGATGAATTGTTGAATAGTTGGACTTGTCAAAGTTGATTCAAATTTGGGTCATTAGCATCATTTGCCATATTATGTGTCACTATTGGTGAAAGTATACTACGACTGAGAGCAATTACACGTCGTCTCAAAAGTACCTTTTCTCCATTTGGTTAGCAACTCTTTTTGATCAATTAATGCATCATCAATATGACCTCTATAAATATTAATATCAATATTAATATTAATGTATGAAAAATGTAATATTAATAGTGGTAATTAATATATGTTTACTCTGAAGATCTAGCTGCCTTTTCAATGTTCTTTGACCGATTTTTCAGTGATGTCTTTTACAATTATTTTGTAACGGCTTAACCTTTCAAAAATTCAACTGCGATTGAATGAGTTGCAGCAGGCATAATTATAAGTCATTGGTGAATTACATACATGCTCTCAAAAGAGAATCAAGACCTATAATAAATATTTTTTTTAATATGTCGTTAAAAAACCTTTTATTATTATAATTAAAATTCGAGACTTACGAGCTAATGATCCGATGAACATATCTACACCTTTATTTCTATGTTCATAACGATCAGCAGTGAAAAAAAGTAAAGTGTGTCAAAATCATAATGGCAATGAAAATGTCCTTTAACAAAATCACACATTTTTTCTTTATTCATTGGATATAAATTTTGAAATTCATGCATAGCAGAGAATTTAAACCATTTGGAAGGGCTCCGTCTATTATAAAATGAAATAATTAAAGATTACATTTTTTATTTTTATTTCATTATTCAGAATCATCATGATGATGGTGGTCATTATAATTACCTGGTTTTCATTTTAATAAAAGTTCGGCTTCATAAGCAGTGATCTGACTGACAGTGATGAAAACATTGGCACAATGGAATGCGGCGCATTCAATACAATAACGGTGATAGATTCCACGTTTTCCTGCTTCTTCATACACTTGAAAATTTGAATGTTATTATAGAGTCAGCACATAAGTAACCTAATAAGGTTGCACGTATGGTAAAAATTGTTGTTAAATCGGTTCTTCATTTACGAAATAAGGCTATGGCAACTCCTGGTAAGCCATTCATGAAAGTGTGCGATGATAGCTTTGGATCTTTCGTGTACTACAAACTATGTATATGATATATAAATAAATATATGATATATGAATGCATTATATTGATTGAACTGGAACTTACATCGTTTATAAACCAAGCAACCAGGTAACCAAATAGAATTGCATCGTTGGTTTCTTGATCATTTGGTGCACCAAATTGATTTCTATAAAATTGGGAGAAGGAATTCCATAAATCAGCCATCCATGAATCAAGTCTATCCCTAACAGGATTTATATCCACAAATAATATGCGAGGAGCACTTTCGATCCAACATCCATTTAACGTTTTGTCTTGACATTTCATCAAGTATTTCTTTGAAATAAGTTACTGGTCCTGGTTCTACTTTGGTAGCAGCATATGTTTGTACCAAGGGACCAATCAATCGCCATATTCATAAGCTGTAACTGGTACTTTTGTCTTTAAAATTGTGTAGAGATCACCGACTTTTTGGTTGTTTTATTTGATGTTTGAAAGTTGAATTAATTAATAATAAAATTTTATATTTGTTGTACAAAGAATCGGGACACATCCTAATATGTTAATTAGACAAAAAACAAAAGAAATTCTGGTCTGAGAATCAGAAGATCCTAGATTATCACATGTACAAATTTCAAAGCACGTCATTCTTTCCATCATCAAAAATCTTGCTATAAACTGATATAAATTTGTTATGTACATTTTTGTGTAATGGTGGGTGTCCTATTCTTCTGTCCATGTATGCGTATGTATGAGAACGCGTATAAATTTTCTAATTGTTTGTTATTCAATTATTTTATTTTATTTATATACCTTTATTTGTACAATTTCAAATAATATAGGTTTTATCAATATTATATTTTAGTTTAATTAAGCAATAAAATGTGTGCTTTACGTGTGTTAGAGATGTTAGAATTTAATAAAAATGAAGTTTTTTATTTTTTGACATTTGATGAATCCTTGAAATCATGTGAAAATTCAACCATTAGATATTGTCTAAAAAAAAAAAAAGATATTATCTTAATTCTTTGCTCAGGCGAGGTAGGTGTTACCATCAATAGCAAAATATCTCCCCCATGTATACTATTTGTTCTACTTATTCTTTGTGGAAGTTATATCAAAAATGAGGAAGCTCGCTGGATATTTTATGAAGATAATAAATTCATTATTGAGAACAAGAACCGAAGGAACAAAGAAGATCGAGCTTAAGGAAGAAAAGGAAAGATTATCAACAATCAATCAACAAATTGTTGAATGAGGAACAAAAAAGATCGATTCAAAAGATCCAGAAACTAGAAGAAGAAATTGTTGGAAAAATGCCAGAAGAAAAGATCATGCACAACTAACGGAAGCCAATGAAATGAAGAATGGCAAGAGAGAAGGAAAAAAGAAAGTCCTTAGCAAGGAAACAAAGACAAGAAAATAACTGGTTCAGGTGTTTAGGCTGTGAAGCAAGCGGCCATAAATTTAAAGATTGCCCAAAAATACAATGTGGAGAATGTAAAATACACTGTCCAAAAAGAATATGCGATAAATGTCCAGGAAGAAGGACACGTAAAATATTATTTATTAAATAAAAATAAACCATTTATTTTTGAAATAACAGGCGCGATTTTATTACGAACTTTACACCAATTCGAGTTTTTATATTAATATCACTTCAATAATGATTTTCATTGGGCGAATTTATTTAAATTTAAAGTTTTTTGTTCAATCCTTAAAAATGTGTATAGGCTCAACAAACTTACTGCTTAATACAGAGAATTTTTAATAAAATCCGCAGATATTAACATTAATATTTTAGATAGGCGCCATTCGACGTGTAACGTAATTAATTCATGAGAGGCTACAAAGCGTAAAGGGCTATTTTTTTAAAAACATTTTTCCCCTGCTAGTTTTTGAGAAATATACGTTATTAATTTTCATTTATGTTGTTAATTTTTCTTTTCCATAAAAAAATTATTTATTAATTATTATTATAAATTATTATTAAAAAAAATGTTTTTTTTACAGTATGCGAAAAATATATACAAGAAAATTTCATTTAAAAAAAAAAGCATATTATATTATTAAGTGAGAAAATTTTTTCATAGATAAATGAAATCATAGGTAGATGATAATGCAAAATGAATAATATAAATTGGAAATAAACACATTAACATTAAAACATTAATTTATGTAAATATATATATTTTTTTTTTTATATTACTTCCCAACGATCCCACAAAATGGATGGAATTTGTGGACGAAGAATTTCAGACTTCGTGTAGGAAAGCTAGAATAAATAAAAAAAGTGATCGATTAATTGATTGATTGATTAATTAATAACGGATTTTTTAATTTCTTTACAATAAGGAATAATTTTTTACTTACAATTTTTTCGATTAAATCGAATTGATATTTTTCCAAATTAATTTGTTGTTTTGTTGGAGATTTTTCTGATTGGATTACTTTATGATCATTATTGTTGTTATTATCTTTGACTAGTTTTTTATCTTCATAAGTTTTTTCTTTGTTATTCTTACTATCGTCGTTATTTTCATAATCTTCCTTATTTGTTATCTCTTTGTTATTGCTATCACTATTATCAACACCATCGCTATTGCTATCACTATTACTATCATCGTCATTATTCTTATTGCCACTATTAAATGATTTTCCTTTGAATAAAGAAGACGCAAAAAATGAGGAGGAGGAGACTAACCATTTAGAATAATTGGAAGAATCAAACAAGTGGTTAAAGTTGAACAGATATTCCGGTGATGATAAATAAGAAGAAAACGAAGAAGATTTAATAAGATCATTATTCTTGATTATAAGATCGTTATTATGCTTAATTGATTTTAATAATCTAACAGCTGAGCTATTTTCGTCCCCGTCATCATTGTCATAAGAAGTAGATGATGTTTCTTTATCTTTAGTAATAGTTGCGTCATCGTGAGCTTCAACTTTTTCATAATTCACGTTACTAGTAATTACGGCATCATAGAATGATTCAAGTAAACCTAATATATTTATATTATCAACCTTGGTTATATTTTGTGGTGAAGAAGTTGATAAAATATAATTTTGGATTTTTTCATTAAATGCTTCTTCGTCGAATTTTGAGTATTTCCAAAATCCTCCTCTTCTACCTCCACGTCTTCTAACATCTTTTCCACCAATATCCTCTTTATACATATTATTACTAAAAGCTGGAAAAGGATTATTTTTATAATTTTTATAATCTTCTATAAATTTATAAACTGAATCAGATAATTGTATTTTTTCGTCACTTTCACCATCGTCATCGTCATCGTCATCATCATCATCATCATCATCATCATCATCAACACCGTCGTTGTTGTCAATATTTCTATTATATTCCTCTGACCTTCTAATTTCTTTTTTTGCTAATTTACTCAAATATTCTAAATAATCAGATATGTCTGTACATAATTCATCAACATATTTATAATTATTAATTGATTTTTCTTCTATTTCTTCTTCTTGATAATGATGATTATGATAGTTATTTGTTGTGGTAATTGTTGTTGTTGCCATGATAATTATAATATGTTTTTAATATATATATATATAGAAAAAATAAGAATTCTAGCGATCGTTCGCGTTTTTTTTTTTTTTATATCTATCTATATTTAAATAACAATTATTATAATTAAATTAAATTAATTATATATTTTCATTGTTTAAAAATTTTTTTTTTATCATTAAAAATTCCTCCTTTTTTTTTCTTTACTCTCAAAGAGAATTTTAAAAAAAAAAAATAAAGGAAAAAAAATTTTTTATGGAAAAAAAAAAAAAAAAGAGAAGAAAAAAGTCCTAGACTATATATATAAAAAAATAAAAAGACAAATATTTACCAAATATTTAACGGATAATAACAAGTTATTACCGTATCTACTTTATTTGTTATCTAAATGATTTTTTTGAAAAAAGTTTCTTGGTCTAAAAAAAACTCGTTTCTTTTATTTGCTTTTTCCTTTTGAGAATGGAAATAAAAAAAGAAATTTTGTTTTTTTTTTTGAAAATATTTTTTGGGGGTTTTTAAGTAAAAAAAAAAATAATATAGTATAATATAAAACACGTTCGAAACAAAATTTACATATTAAATATGTGATGATTAATTATATATATCAAATTCATTTATTTTATGTAAAACAACGCGACTTACACAAAAAACCGGTTTGAGACCAAGTAATTTTTATATGAACCTAAACTTGGCTAGTAACATATAAATAAATTTAAACTAATGCAAGCACGAACTTAATAATCCTAGATTCTCCGAATATAGAACACAAAAAAGAGTTTCGAAATCATCATTACATTCCACGCGAACAAGCAACTTTTTAATAGTATAAATGTATGTGTGATGCAGATTATAATTATATCATACATAATTAAAGTTCCAATTTACAATTTCTAATTAAACAATTAAAAGAAAATCATTTCTCAATTTCTCACACTTAAAACTTTAGATATTTCTCCTAATTCCTTTCCCTTTCGTTCTTCTATTGTTACTATTGTACAAATCTATGCACATATATTATTATTCTAAATAATCAAAGGTGACTCATAATATACCAATCAATCTATCAATCAATATATTAACAGCCAATCAACAGTAGTATAGTATAAGCCCCGAAAATATTAATTCATGTTTTCTTCTCCGATAGGAATATTTAATAAAAAGAAAGATTCTTGCCGGATTTAGGTCCATTGATTTTTGTTTATTTATTTATATTATTATGATTCTATTCATTACACAAGATAATTTCATCGTCATATTTATTTATTATATCATTTCATTTATTATTGATTTTTAGTAAATTTTTCAAGATTTCACGGCTTAGTTATTTTTAAATTATACGGGACTTACTTATCACAATCGATCATTTTTTCATCTCTCTCTTCTCCCTCCAATGTTTCAGATGATATATATGTATTCATATTTTCTATTCGTTATTTTAGATTTTTTTTATATTACAACAACTATAATAGATAACTTTATTTTTTTTCTTAAAAGAAGCACGTCAAGTTACACGCATAAAGTTAATGAACCCAAAACACATCAAGTTTTGACCTTTTACCCCATCAGATTTTTTTAAATGCACATTTGGTGAATTAAAATTCTCATGGAAGCAAAAGTTAAGTAAGCAAGAAGGGAGTGGGGAAAAAGGAGGGAAACTCGATAAATTAATTTAATTTTCCAATTGATGGAAAATTTTCATTAAAAAAATTTATTTTATAAAATATCTTTTTTGGATTTCATTCATTATTATTTTATGGGGAGAGGAGAATCATACAATAAAACTTTTTCTCTCAATTAAGCAAAACTATAAACCCATATTCGGAAATATCAACGAGAAAATCATTTTTTATTCATTATCGTTATTATAACTTCGCCATTTTGTTAATGGACAGATTATTGAGATTGAAGGCAAGAAAAGCATTTCTAAGGAATTAATATTTTGTGCAGGGTATAAAATAGCAAATGAGGCTAACTAATAATGAAAATAGATAATAAAATGAACCATTTAATAACATTGATTAATTACTATTGTTCGCATTTTTATTTTCCCGATTCGAATAATTAATAAAAGTAACGATCAATAATAATAGCAATAATGGTCAGGTTAACATCTACACTAAATAGAATTCTCTGTGATTGTAGAAACAATATTAATCCATTATTAAGTCATTCTTCCTTTTTCTTTGTTTCTTTCTCCTTATTGCATTACTTAATTTTTGTTTTTCAAAACTCGTTTTTTTAATTTTCGTTATTATTATTATTAAATTATTATTATTATGCGCGCGCTATGTCCGTCTGTCTCTTAAAAAAAGAAATTATAATAACAATTAATATTAATTATGACAACACACGTTACATGTTATCTATTCATATATATATGTATATGTTATGCATAATAAATATCAACTTTAAGTTTAAATTTAAAAATAAATAATAATTTAAATTTAAAAAAAAAAAACCTGTTTAAATCTCTTAATTTGTTATTAATAATCAAACTTTAACTTTGCCAATCAAAAGGCCAAAAAAAATAATGATTGTTTTTTAATTTTAAATTGTTAAAATTAAGATTCATTGATAATTAATTCACTATGGTACATAATTAATTCTCTTGCTATATAGCTTGTTGAATTCGTCATGTTATTGTCATGAGTTTGAAAATAATATTTTTTTATACAAGATAGATAAAATATTATTATAAAGGCTTTCTTTACCTGTATATAGTATTAATATTTTCTATAAAAAAAAGATAACGGGATCCTGAGCAAATACAAGTTATCGATTTTATCTCTCTTTACTATTGGAGGGTTAGATTAATGAGTATAAGTTATTACTTTGTCACATTATATCATTCATTCAGAAGTACTCATTTACAACCATTTGCTTGAATTTTCTTATCGGAAAGGGGAAATCTAGCTATTACTAGCTTTCCAACGAGAGGGATTGCCTATAAAGAAAAATACTGTTGGATGAAGCTTCCTTGGTTCATATAATGCTCTTGAGTATACTATAGGTAAAAAGAACCATGATACGTTATAATCATTATAGAATTTTTTTACAAGAAAAACGTGGGAAAATTGGTGATTTTGTTTAACTTAAACATAAAACTAATCCCAAGGGAGTTTACACTACATGTATAGTGTATAATAATTAAATAATTCTTGGATTTTTCTTCAAATCGGATGACTTAATACCATTAAAAAAAAAAATATGATTAGTACTGTTTATTGAAATTCATAAGCTGAAGAGGACTTTTCTACTACTAGTGTTCACATGTAAATTCCATTAAACACTAGTACCTTATAAATAAATAATTCATCTGTTGAATCAGTATCCATACACTTGTATGTCAATTCAATAAAGAATTTAGGAATGTTGTTTGAGAAACTAGGTCCTTACTCCTTTCTTTCACTTCAAGATTTGTCCATTATATAAGATTTCCTGTTTAACATAAATATGGTAAGCTCCAACTATATAATGTTCATTTGGTTTAGATCACGAAGATCATGCATGTCATTTATATTTTCGGGGGCTTATTATTATGAGATATGTGACCACATGACATATTAAAAACGAATTTTAGGTAGCAAAATCAATTTGTTTCTAGGGATTTTTGGCTTCTCTTCTTCTTCACTACTGGTATCTTCTTCTGTTAATATTAATATTTGTGATGGACCTTTAATGCCTTTTATTACTAAATCAAAACCAAGGTCTTTGAGAGGCTCTAAGACCATAATTACCCTTCTCATATATATATATATATATATGAACTTCAATTTAACGCAGCCTTTAATCCTCTAATCATTTTCTTTAATTTAATCAATATACTACAGCTTTTAATTCAATATACATACATAACGCTGTCTTTTTAATTCAACATACTCTTTATTTTGCCACAGCCCCCCAACTCCACACTTTATTCTTTAGCCACTTGGAAAAAAATAATTTATGTCACACGTGAAGGTAATTAGAACAGGGAAATTTATTTCAGCTCAACTTGGGATGTATACAATTAAAAACGGGATATAGATATAAATGAGGTATGATTGTAGATATTATAAAGGGTTCCTAAATTTAAATCTTTCAATAAATCCGAATCAAATTTGGATGAGTTACGTGAATTATGTTTTTTTCTGGTTTGCATTTTCCAATTATCTTTGAGAATTATCATCATCTTCCAAAATTGTTACTTGTAAGACTGTTATTAATATTATAATATTCTTGTTCTAAATAAAGATACCTGATGGAATGATCGGCATTTAGTCAACTGATGAAATGTACTTACCACCCACCAGAGGCATATTGACAAAGGAATTCTAATAATCACCAGAAAATTCTGTGTATAATAAATTTTTTTACCAAAATGACTGCAGAATGTCATTAATATTATAATATTCTTGCTTTAAATAATCACCTCTATTTTCTGATAATAAACAACATAATAATAATCGCCTTCTGCTTTGAAGAAAGTGAAACGCGTGTCACATCCAATAAGTAAATTTGACGTTTCTCCACGTTGAAACTTTTTGGGATAGCACAGACATTTAGTCTTTAGAATTTTTAATAGGTACCTTGGTAAACGTAGATTCTGGTTAAGAGGAAAACAAATTATCATCAACACTTGAGTTATATAGCATTTACAAATCCCCCATCAATTTCGCCAAACGTGACGAAATAATCTCCTGCTTACAAAAACATTTCATAAGTTATCATTAATCAGGACATCACAATAATCATCAAAATAATCATCAATTAGTCATCATTTATCATTCTCTTATTTTCTTGGTCAAAATCATGTAAAAAGACTTGTTATTTGTAATACTTCAAGGAAGTATAAATATGCTTGAATTTCCCAGCGAAAGAAATTACTCAATAAAACAAATTTCAATAATATAACCTCCTAGCACTTTGATAACTAATTAATAAGGCTAATATAATTGACTCATAGTCCTTTCTGATGATTGATGGTTTGGCCAACCTTTAATAATTAGTTAGGGGCCATTGTTAGTTTTACTATATTGCTTGTAGGGATATCTCAAGTATAGAGTTTCTATTCATAATATAAATTCTTATTCGAATCATTCGTTTATTCAAATCATCCGAATTATTCGTTTTATTCCTTTATTCGTTTTATTCAAATTATCGAATTATCGAATTAGAATTATTCAAATCCATCGAATCATCGAACTAGAATTATTCAAATCATCGAATTATCGAATTAGAATTAATTCGTTTCATTCAAATTATTCGTTTATTCGAATAATAATAAATATTCAATGTAATCCGAATACTCAAATTCATAAACAGAATAATTCAAATAAACTTTATTCGAATAAAAACTTTACTCAAGTAGTATAATGATTTTGGTTTAATTTAAACATTATTATTGGCCGTGTGCCAGATTTGGTGACTTTTACTTTGTAATAAATAACTCGGGTTGCACTCGCAATATCTATAGGCAATAAATAGTTACAGCATTACGGTTTACGACTTTTACGACTTTAGAATGTCATGCCGAATCTATTTACTTAATGCAGAATTGTAAAATTTAATATATTTTGTGTTCGGTACATTTGTGACTGTTTTGAAATAAAATAAAAATACAAGTGAAAAAAAGAAAGCATAAGAGTTCGATGAATTTTTTCAACAAAGTGGTCAATAATCATCCTGATGGTATTTCTATTGACAAAAATGATTATGATGAATATTCATGGAAAAGAAAAGAAATGTATGGGAAATGTCCAACCTGCAATAGATTTAATACTGGTTGGACATGGTGTGATCAAAAGCTATTAACTGAAGGACGGGTTACTGGCAATAAAACATTAGATGAGTTGTTTAAAAATATACAACTTAAAGCAGGAGATTGTTATAACGATTATATTCAATGGGTTCCTTATAACGATCTAGCAAATATTGAAAAGGTAGGTGATGGCGAGTTTGCAGCTATATACAAAGCTACTTGGTTAAATGGTGATAAAAGTGTAAATTATGATATTAATGAAAGAATTGTGGCATTAAAAAAATTACAAAATATTCCTGATGAGTTTTTTAATGAGGTAAATTATTTAATTAATATTAGTTTCAAAATTTTTTAAAATATTATTGATTATTATAGGTGAAATTAAATGTTTATTTGTTATTTTAGTTGAAAAATTATACAAAGTTTCATGATAAAATTTATATTTATGGATTAACACAAGATCCAATTACAAAAGAATATATCTTTGTAATGCATCACATGAAAGATGGAAATCTTCAAAATGATGAATATTCACGGGAGAGAAAAAAACATTATGGGGAATGTCCAACTTGCAATAGATATAATACTGATTGGACATGGTGTCAATCATGCAACCCAAAACTATTAACTGAAGGATGGACTAGTGGCAATGAAACATTAGATGAGTTGATTAAAAGTACACAACTTAAAGC